TCCCACCCCTGCATTGGCCGAGGGTCTGGGATTACCAGCAGCACCCCCCCCAGGTCTCTTCTCTGAGCACATGGAGCTAGCTCAGGCGGGTGAACCATCTGTCCTGATCCGATGTTCTAAAAAAACGGCCTTAAAGTTATTAAAAAAACAAAACAAAAAAACTTAAGAAGGACTTTGATAAGAATATATGTTGACCAAGAAATGAGAGATAATACAAGAGACTAAAGTAATAAAGAAAGAAAAGAAAAAGAAATTTGTCTAAGAATGACTATAGGAAGTTATGGAAGTTACAGAGGGTTAAAGCAAGTCATAGAAGTTCAGAGGAAAGTTGTCAAAGGTCAGAGAAAAGGTTGTTACAGGAAGTTATAGAGGGTTAAAGCAAGTCGTAGAAGGTCAGAGGAAAGTTGTTGAAGGTCAGAGAAAAGGTTGTTACAAGTCAGAGAAAGATGTAAACTATAAACTGTTATGGTTTCTCATGTCTACAAATAGTAAATTTTAAAATTGGTAATATAAGTTAAAATTTTAACCATATCAAGTTAATTCAGTTTTAAAAGTCCTGTTTATTTCTCAAATAATTTATGTATACTTGTTTTAAAATGTTCTGTTTCCTGGTAACCAGCCACATGGCAAACTGGTCACATGGCTGACTGGTAGCCATTTTACTGAAGTTAAAAAAAAGGATACTTAAACCACCATCTTGACGAAAGGTGACCACATGAAAATTAGAGGCACCATCTTAGAAACAAGTTTTTCAATTAAGATTTAAAATGTTAATGCTTCTATATATTACAGAAAGACCTTAAGGGAATTTAAATTTCTTTTTAAAACCAGTTTTTTAAAATGTTTGTTTTTATTAATGTTTGTACTTAAAGAGCTTCAATTTAGAATTATTTTTAAGCAAAGCCTGACAATATAAAGTTCTTGTTTTATAAAAGCTACTAATCTATTATAAGATGATACAGTTTATGTTTTCAGAAATTAAGTTTAGGATGTTGGTAGCACACACCTTTAAGCTCAGGGTG